TGTCAGATGACTTTTTTAACACAACAAAATTAGAGTAGATTATGTAAATGTTTGTTTAAATCTCAGAAGTAGTGCTCACGGGCACAGGTCTCCTCTAGATTAATTCACTTAGAGACTATGTAGCTATTAAAAAAATAAAGACACTAAACTTATTAACACAGCTTTTTGCTTCATAGTATATTTCTCTATCATTCTGCTTACTATTAATAAAATATGCATTTTCCTATGTTGAAACTTGTCAAATCAGTTTAAGTATATTGGCATGCATATTCATTAGTAAAAGGATATCATTTTAAAATTACATGTGTACTATTAATATCACCATAATGGTAACCAAGTACTTCTGTCCCTCATCCAGCTGTTAAGCTTTTATTTGACTGTTGTCTTAATGTGTACAAAAGTTTCTCGTTGTCCTTGATCTTTTCCTGTTACGCTTCAGTTTATCAACTTAAAGGTAACTCACAATTACTTTTCCCTATGAACAAAAGTGTGTGAAGTGCAATGATTTATTAGCCTATGAGAACAGGGCTCTTTCACTTTGCATTTATCAAGACCTTTGTTGCTCATGTGTGACTTTTGCTCTACTAAGCCATAAAAAACAGAGTTGAGGGAAAGTGACAAAAAAGAAGAAGGGGTGAAAAATAAGCCTTTTCAGAAAGTATTAGATCTGTCTTGCTTTGAAAGGGGAGGGAGGCACAGTACAGATAACACTGCCCCACAGAGCCGAGTTTTGGTAGTTGGTTTCCAGGACTGGCTCTACTGTGGTAGACTAATTCACATTAGGAGAGTTACTCCTCTGTCTCCTGCAAAATGAGGGGATTTCACTATATTGGGGTCAACACTAAAAGCCCAGCTGGTCACAAAATGATGTAAAAATAAACTATTGTATTATTAAAAAAAAAAAAAGGCCCTGGTGAGTATTTTAGTCTTTACAGGCCATGCAGTCTACCACAACTGCTAAATACTATTGTTCGTGATTCTCCAGGCAGACAGGTAAGATTGTGATCCAGTACGACTTCACTTACATTAATAGACACAAGACCAGATTTCATCCGCTAGGCACCATTTGCTGACTTCCGAACTAGATGAGCTGGGAGCTCCCATCACCCCCCTTTCTGTGCTGCTGCTTCACTATCAGCGTCACCTGTGAGAGGACAGCTCGTTACTTATTTTCTGTGTCTTAGCACTCAGGGCCTACCCAGGCAACAGAAACCAGTTGTTTTGCAGAAAATTCAGCACATAAAGAGCTGTTAACTAGGTTTTAAAGAACTGAAAAGGGAAAAAGAAGACTGGAACATCACAAACTTAGCAACTGCCTGAAGCAGCTACCACCTCTGCCTGTGAGACAGAGTCGGCTTGGAGGAAAGGCCCCACAAGGCTGAAACCAGCTGTGTGTGCAGGAACTGCTCAGCAGATGCTTATATTCTGAGCTCAAAGAGGCCTCCCTTTTGGAGGGAGCCGCATGAAGACAAAAACCAAATGAAAAGTAGACTTTAATTAAAGCAGGAGGGATAATACCAAACATTAAAAAGTTAATTTGCAAACCAACTTAGAATACCAATGAGCAAAGTGTTAAGTCATTTTTCCAGTGTTTTATAATAAGAGATTAGATCATTACCTATTGTGGACAGTTGCCATTTCAGAATGTAGAGATCAGGGTTATCTTTTATTCCTCTGAGGAGATCTCCCTCTTCCTTCTGTGCTCCTGTAATATGATCTTTAGCTTCCCTTTTCTTGGTTTAATATCGATAGACTAGCTTTATAAGACATTGACTTCCTTATAGAAATCATTTAGGTTAGTTCCTTTGTCTGGGTTTCCAATAAATCCAGGCAACTAAGATAGAAAACAGAAAACATACCTTTCAAGCTACTTTAATCAGCTCTCCCTGTAATTGAGCACAAAGAACATTAACATTATAGAATGTCAGATATTGTATATATGAATAGTGATGGTCAGAATAGATTTTCAGCCTGTCAGGAGATCTTTTTATATATGTGTGTATAATATATAATTGTTTTTACATCATTTTTCCATCTCAGTTGCAATCCCCGTGGACTTCCCGTCACCAAATCACCCATGTGCCATTGTACAGTCCAGTGCACTTCCCCCCACCGCCATTTTTGATCCCATTCCCCACTCCACCCCTGTAAAATGTCTCTGGTATATAATTGTTCATTGTTTTTTTTTTTAACCTGGTCCTTTAAACTCCTGCTATGTGTGAAACCATCAGTATTTTTCCTTTTCTTTCTGGCTGATTTCACTAAGCATGATCCCTTCCAGCTCCATCCATGTTTCTGCAAAAGGCATGTGTATATCTTTTTTGATTGCTGAGTAATATTCCATTGTGTATATATACAGGGATCATTTATAAAGAATTTTTACCTCAAAAAAATCTCATTTAAGTTAGAAAAGTAGATTGGTTCAATAATATAATTAAGTGAAAACAGAGAGCTAGGCCATCAGGGATCTGGCATTCTTCATGTTTATGTCGGTGGACCTGCTGGATATTTCAGAGTTGGTTATACAAGCTAATTCAAGCATTTAATTCTAAAAGTGTCCTTTGAAGATTTTTAAAATAATTGCACCATATAACGTGCAGCCATTATATGCCATAGACACTTGATTTAGTGATGACTCTTTCTCATCTTTCTTCTTTCCTAGAGACTGATTAGGTACATGGCAAAGGTACTGTGTTATGTTACAGTGCCTGCATGTTTTAATAAAGATTTTATGTGATTATTAATGAGCATGTGAATGGACAAGCTAATGAATGAATATCAGTTCTGAGGGTCAGTCTCCATAAACAGTTTACTTGCTTGGGTGGAGATTCGTGTGCTTCCTGTCATACTTCCTATGCTCAGAGAAACCTAGGATATCGCCGCCGCCTCTGCTCCTGCGTCTGGGTTTTTATAGAGAAGTTCATGTACAACCAGCTGTCTGCAAAGTAATAGGTATCCATGGGCAAGCAACCATGTCATCGTCCCTACATGTCAATGTGCGGTACAGTTCTGCGTGTGCAGGGCTATTCCCGCAATCTGATGGCAGTAGTGCAGTTGAGCCGCAGCTGCCTGAATGAGGTCTTCGTGGCTTTTTCTCCTTGGCCAGCTCAAATTGGCCATTTGTGATAAATTGGAGGCTAATGTTTTCAAGCCATGAAGCTGTATTTCTAGTATTTCTTTTAAATATTCATGAAAAGTGACTTTAATTTTCACTCCTTTTTAGTAGAAACCCACATACTACTTTGAAGATATCAGTTTCCCGTTGTTGTTCTCACTACAGCCTTCAAGATTCAGACATTCAGAAGCAAAGTGGCATTCTAAACTGTAGACTATGTGTCATGTTCATGTAAATCAGATGATCTTTACTGTTATCTGTCCACTGCCTGAACTAAGGTTTCTATTTGTTGAGTTTGATTGCTTCTCTCCTTGCACAACGGTCTTACATCTCTGTGTTTAGGGAACTCTTCGCAAGTACAAATTTATGTCTAGTCTTACAGTAGCAAGTGAAATGAAGGTTTTAATTTTTTTTAGATAAACACTATTTGGTTTTAAGAAGATAAAATAAATGTATTGTGTCTGTTATATATTCTACATAGATTATGTGTATTGTATGTAATTATAGGTATATATGTATATTATGTATATTACATTATATGTCACTTGTGTACATTATATATATAACATATTTATCATATTATATGCATGTAACATACATAATATATATTTGAATATACATATATTTGAATATTCAACAGGAAAAAGCAAATATTTAGCTTTTTGCCTGACTCAGTGTTTCACCCTTGTATTTGCTTTCCTTGTTTAAAAACATTTCTGAGCTGTTACATGTAAAACTCTAATTAATGGTCTCAAACTTATTTTGGTGGGAGGAATTCTTGATTGTTGATAAATACTTTGAGTTCACTAAATGTGCTGTTGTGTAACAGACACTCATTAGATTTTCAGTATTATATCAAACCATGAATCCTTTATGAAGAAAGATTCAACAGGCACAAATACAGCTGTTTCTTCCTGAAAATGATAGGAAACAAAATCAGCAAGGAGAAACAATGTAACTCAGCCATAAAGGCAGCAACTGGGTTTAACTCTTTCTGGATTAGCTTCCCCGCCAGTTAAATGGTGGTGACTAAAGGATGAGCACAACATGGATTGTTTGTAACTCTTCTCTTTGCCTCTTCTCTTTTTTTTGCATTTTCCTCCCCCTTCTGAACTCATAGACCACTTTACAACTCTCTGTTACACTTAGCACAATCCACCTCATATTGTTCTTATTTGTGTCTTACAGTTGGGGGAATGTGGATGATAACTCCATTCACCAGAGCTTGCCAGCCTAAGAGAGTGATCTCATGTTGCTCCCTCCCAGCCACTCAAAACAGACACCAGAAGTAAACCGGCAATTAAGTCAGGAAGGCGCCAGCAGTAGTGCCAGGCACACAGTAGGCTCTTGTACTTGTCGTAGGGTCACTGACCCCCAGCACAGTATTTTACATAATTGAAAAATCATTTTTTAGAACATTTTCATATTTTCTTCCCAACCATGAAAGGAAAATACTGGAAATTAGAGCTTCATGGTTTTCTTATAGCTTAATATAATTTAGGGCTGTTTTCTCCATTGATGATGTTTATATCTTGTTTTTCAAATGGGATTTGTGACTCAAAAAAAGCAAAACCTAATCATTTTTGTAATTTGGTACAAATGCGTCACCCACATTAATATAAAAACTTTTGTCTAGTGAAGACTGCCGCTGGAGAAAAATGTTGCCGCCTGTCACTGGGGCTGTGTGCCAGGCAGGTGGTGATAGTCAGGAAGGTGCTGAAGACAAACTGGACGTTTGCCAGCACGTGTCCTGGGCACTGATGATGACGTGGAGCTTAGCAAGCTCATGGTTAATGTATCTGCTGGAGTAAAGCTTTGTGGTTCCAAAGTTTGGGAGATAGAGACCAATTGAAAGTGTTTTGACTAAATTATTTTGTCTCAACAGCCACAAGCTCTGCCCACTTGGAGGACCTTGCTTACCTGGACGAACAGAGACACACACCTCTGCGGACTTCTCTTCGAATGCCAAGACAGAGCGTGGGCGGTGCTCGCACACAACAGGACTTAAGAGGTTAGAACCTAAGGAGAGCTTTGCCTTGAGGTGCTCTGGGACATGGGAATGGGCTGTGGGCACAGTGTTGCTTGGTTTCCACTTTCCACACTTAAACCCCCCTGCAGATGTGAGTATGTGGTCAGTTTATTCCTGCTGAATCTAGAAAAGTCAACACAAATACATCACGCTCACCATAGAATGACACTGAAATTAGCAACAGTTAGAAGCTTTGATTTCCTGAAATTCTCAAAGAAAACATGTGTAAAGAGCTGGTGGTGATGGGGGATGACATTTGTAAGGTCCTGGATTTCAGAAGTGATTATGGTCCACTTGGGCTCTAGCCTTATTGCAGGTGAACTCAGCACTGAGTGTTTATTTTGTTTGCATTAGAGTGGCCATCACTGGTGATTTTTATGCTCTTAGGTTCAGACAGTGCTTCTACTCCTGTGCTTTTTCCTTTTCCCCCTGAGGTTCTTGTTTCTTAACGCTTTCTGTAGCAGGTGCATGTTTCTATAGTCAGGAACTGGAACCTTTCAGACTGTCCTGTTATTAAAACCATGGTCTAGGTGAGAGGCCTGTTGTATCTCTGCTCATTCTTTTCATTTGCTCAAGTGAACTGTCTCTGAGAGCCAAATAGGTGCTGTGCTTTCCCTGTCCCTAGCGGTCCGTACCTCTACAACTTAAGGCACAGTATTTTGTCTTATAGATTAGCACCATCTTACCTTTGCTCTCCTCCTCCTGCATTGTCCAGTGCATGTGTCTCCCTCAGGAAGGAATCCAGACATGCCTGCTGTCCATTCTGGAAGTCATGATGCTGACAGCCTCTCCAAGATGACTAAGCAGCAAGGACATAAAATAATCGATTGTACGCTGCAATTACTGTTCCCATCAACAGTCTTGAGTTGATCATCTCAGTCGTAGTTTTAGTTCCCTGTCCTTCTGTCCATCCTGCTTGCCACTTCCTCAGTTAACCACACACCAGTCACCTAATGTATGCAACATGTATTTCCAGCCCAGAAAGTGGAATGATGACAAGGACTACTTTAGTGCTGGTAGATTGATTATCTAAAGCCTGTATGCATTTAATCAAGACCCAATAAATGATATGTGCCACGGCTGGAATATACAGACCAATAAAGAAGATGGGACCCAAACAGAAATCTTTATCTTGACCTGCAGAGTTAGTTGAAAAACTGCCACAGGGGCATTACTTTGCATCTGATTACTTGAAAACATTGGCTTGTTGATTTTATTACTTACTAGTCATTGAATGATAGATTTTATACTCCATAGGAAGCAAAATTGAAGACTTCAGTTTTATATTTCTGAGAACCTTTCACTTTTATAGGTATCCGTTTTCGGTATTTAATGTTTTATTAAGATCTTTGACAAATGCATTCCTGTGAACTTGACGTTTTCACTCAGATATGGGTTTTATATAGAATACAACCAAAATCTTTCCCATTGCCTTGAGCTTCAGTCTGTACATTCATTAAAACCAAAGTACTCCAAAGATTTTTCTGAAGCTCACCTAAATCCTTAAAAAGATGTCTGAAAAATGCACTCCTTACAAAAATGACTTCTGACAGAGTATCTCAACGGACTGTTTACGTTAATGCTTGAAAAGGACCCTCCCCGGTGGCGCAATAAGTTAGGACACAGCATTGCAAGCTGGCTGCTGCCACTTCAGTGCGGGTTCAATCCCTGGCCCTGAAGGTGACCCACATGGCATGGCAGACCTCTCCTGACTCAGCCATTGCTCCCCTCAGCAGCATACTTTATTGATCTGCCTGTTCTGCTCCCTACTCTGTCTCTGGTGAATCCTCTCACTGCCCCGTACCTCTGGTCTGTACCTCAGTTCTGTATGCATAAGTAAATAAATCTTTTAAAAAAATACTTGAAGATAGTTTGTCCACCAATAAAGGTGCTATGTTATTAGTGTTTCAGTGCCTTGACGTTGTCTGAACATTCAAGAGCTGTTCAGTCAGCAGCCTAAAATGCTAGTGTGTGCCAGCCAGATGGATGCCTTCATGCACAGGGCAGTATTTGGTTTTTTGAATTAGCATACTTTAATTTAGAACTTTGAGGCCCTGGGAAATAAGCTCCCCTCAAAAAGTAATGAACATGTTACCTAGCTTACTGTTTACAGAATAACTCTTTGGTTTGTGACATGACTTAACATATATTAACACGAACGGGAAGCCAACCTAGAAAGACAGACTTTCCTTATGTTTCTGTAGACCTGCCTGGCGAGCCCATATAATCTATGATTATTACATTCAAGCATTACAGTTTATGTTGAAACAGAATCACACTGTGTTCCTGGCATAACTTTAAAAACACATCACCTCATGTTTTCTAATTTTCTTTAAAGGTGCATACAAATTGCAGTCATGCGTCAGTTTTGTGTATTTTTTTTTTTCCTTATGGTTTGGCTGAAGCAAAACAACTTTATCCATGCAATCAAGTGAAAACCTTTCTTAGTATGTGTTAACATATAACTTCCTACAGTAGAGGTTTATCTTTCTATGTTGTAAAATATTACTCAAACAAACTCTATGAAATAGTTTTTAATTACAGTTGGTTGTCAGTGACCCCAGACCTTTACACAGGTAGTTAATGGTGATGCCACTAAGTGTGTCTGGCAAGCACCAGGTTCACTGATTCCTTGTGTATAGAGATCACCTGAAACTACAGGCACTAAGTATATGGCTAACGAGCACTTGAAGTAGCAAGCATTTGGGGGAGCTCTTCATACAGTCTTTCATTGTCCTCTTCCAGTAGTAGCTTGAAACATTTTAGTCTTGGGACCGCTTTATACACCTACAAATTAATTAAGGACTTTAAAAATTAAAAAGCTTATGTTTCTATGAATTATATCTCTTGAGATTTACAATATTAAAAATTAAAACTGAGAAATTGTTAAAATAGCTCTACATTTCAAAAAAAAAAAATGCTGGACCCAAATATGTGTTCACATGATGTAAGTTCTAGAAAATTCCACTGTGTACTTGTGAGAGAATGAAAGCAGAAAAGACAGGTAACTTCTTCATATTATGAACATAGTTTTGACTAGGTAGACTCCCTGAAATTATCTTGAGAACCCCTGGGATGGAGATCAGGTCACACTTTTAAGAAACCACTGCTTTAAGTAATACTGTTATTGAAGATAAGGTTTATGCCTTTCAGGGCTGTGCAGTCAGTTCACAGAGATGCAGAGAGGTATAGCTCAACTGGTTTGAAGTTGTCATTGAGCACAGGCTAAGAGTGTGGGCAGAGTTCATCTCACTGTAAGTAGGATTAACTATTAGCTACTTAGTAGTAACTGCAGCTGTTCCACCATAAGGGTAGTCTTTTTGGCTGCCAAGCAGAAGTTGCTGAGCTAATGGCAGCTAGCATTAAGATAACAAGTGGGGTAGTAACAGCAATTTTGCCTCACTGGTCAAAATTCTTGCTTCCCCCACTTCACAAGACAGCTGTTTTGAACAACTGTTAATACCAAAACTGATGCTTCTAGAGACCCAGCCCAATAACGGTGAAAGGTCACCTAAGTGCACTGTCAGGATCCACCAGCACACATTGGGAGTGTCTTAGCTTTCAGCATTTCAAGAGCTTGAGCTGATGCGAAAGTTACACAAGGTCGGTTCCCCGTTTTGGAGCACACCGCTGACTAGCCTACCACGAGAGCCTTTTCTAGTCCCAACGCCTAATATCCTCGACAGTTACTAACCTGAAACCTTATTAAAGTTTTTAACTCAAGTTTTAAAAATTATTTTGGAGTCCATCTCTAAAACTCAATCTCTAATATTAATGTGAGGTTAGGCTAGAAGTTATCTACCTGAACTCTATCATTGAGATATACAATCTCTCATTCCACAGAGAATGACAGAAGCTAAATGTGCTGTTTAGTAACTAAAGAGGGGAAAGGATGGATGAGAATAATTAATCTTATGACAAAACACATATAGGAAGAGGGAGTTAAAACACACAAAGCTAGTTATAGTGTACTGACTGCAGCTAGTTGCTACATGGGGTAAATTAACAACAAATTATTACCGATAAGACTCTAACCTGTCTGATGTTAAATCAAGACATTGTTCTGCTTGAAGAGATTACACATTCCTAATTAAAACTTCATGTCTCAATATATATTGGTTTCCTTAGGACTTTCACTAAGTCCCATTACTTAAATGACCACTCGCAGGCATTGGGTGTAGTTAATAGCAGCTTTAATAGATACTAGGTTGGAGGGCATATGTGCAGATGACTGTCTGACTCATTGGTAGAATTTATGTGAAATGGACCCTGGCACAGTTAACTTGGCTTTGTCAGAGCAAAGAATTGAATTTTTATCAAATAAAACCAGTGTTTCACACCATTTATGAGCCCCTTTTCCAAAACAATGAATCCTTTATGAGGATGACTAAGATGCATGTCATGAAGCTAATGCTTTTGCATTACTGGCTGAGTCACAGGTCCCCGAGGTTGCTGAGTCATCTCCATCATTGCCTGGCTGGCTCTACAAGGGACTATTTCCATCTGTTGCCTCTATCTCATTGTTCATTATTTTATTTTTACAGGATTAAATTTCTTTGTTTTTTGGTAAATTCAAAATTCAAAGATAAGGTTGCTTATCTGCCTAGCTGTAATATTCAATAGGTAGATTGTAAGCTGCAATTTACGGAGTTGATCGGTCACTACCACCCATTCCCTGCCTCCGCCAGTTCTAGTGCAGTGTACCTTCACATCGAAAATTCATTTCTCAAAGTGGATGCCTTTGAGTGTCTGCTAGACACTAGTTTGTGCTCTTTGGAGGAGTCTGCCTGTGATTTTCATTTAAAAAAAAAAGATCTCTACTTCTTGTTAATGCTGTCCCTAATAGGTACTCAGATCAAGTTTTTATATAAGCCAGCCTTATTTGGTAAGTTCCACCTGAAAGTTTGAAAACCCAAGAATACTCACAACAGAGTTCCTCCAACAAGCTGCATAAGGGAGAAGTAACTTTTGAGTAGTCTGTG